GCAGCTCAAGCACAGGTTATGTTTTAAAGGAAATAAGTTGAATTATCTAGTATAATTATAAAAACTGTCTATAACTACATGGCTCTCTCATATGTACCAAAAATAGCATTTTAACAGTAAACAAATATACACCTGTCTTGTGTCTATTACCCAATGGTTATATACAGCATGCACATACAACATTGGGAACCTAATATACACTAAAAAGGGTGTCAATAAAAATATGATTATACAACACACATACAAGTAATGTAAATCATGTATTGACTTATACAGTCCGTGTTAAAATTGTGATTATAGATTGAAAACAAGATTGTGTGCTTTTTAACAAAAATCATAGTCCTCAGATAACGTATAAAGAAGTGTATTCACAGCATATTTATTGAAATGTGTTCTTTGTTTGCTTTAACCTATAATAGTTTGAAATGTATGATAGATTGCACTGCCAAGGAACGACATATCAAAAAGAAATCCCCTTGTATATATACACCATATCTGTGTTCATCATTACCTCAATCTGTTAGTGTTCAGAGATTTGCCACCCCCTTACAGAGGGGTGTCTGGATGAGTAGCTGTAGACGGTTGATGGATGTCTTGACAGCATCGGCTGAAACTGGGGTTGTGTTTGGGGAAGTAGCACCATCTGTTGAGGCTGCAGAGGCTGAGGAGGGTAGGCCATGTAGTCAGAGTTCCTCGAGTACACATACCTCGCTGGACCTTTTTCTTCCGACTGCAGATTGCAACAAATAAAAATGCATCCTCCAGCGAAAAAGAAAGCGGAGGCCACCCAGCCAATGTAGAGAGCCTCTCCAAGCTCCCTGCGCTGAGCGTCAATCAGCAGAGGGTTGTAGAAGTCCCTGATGATGACGTGACCTGTCCAGGACACAGGGATGATAACGCAGATGCAAGCCATTAGGACCATGCTTCCTGCAATGATGAGGACCAGCCGCTTAGCCCGGTCGTTATTTTGGATGCATGACGTGCACTGAAGCCCCACCATGCTGATTAGAAGACCAAGACCACCCAGTGCCAGAGAGCAGCACATTAGCCCCCTCGCTGCCTGCAGATCAGGGGGTAGAGCCAGGAGAGAGTCATACACCTTACACTGCATTCTGATGTCGGCCTGACGATAACAATTCATCCACAGACCCTCAAAGCGGGTTTCAAACACAATGATGTTCTCCCCAATGAAGGCTGTGACTCGCCACATCGGCATCCCAGTGCTGGCTGCTGCCCCGATCAGCCCGACCAGGGTCAAGATCAGAGCCACTAGCTCCAGTGCTGAGTTGGCCATGCTTTCCTCCTCTTATTCCTCCAAAGTCATGCGTTCAATAATGTGTGGACACAGTGTGACTATAGAAGGGAAGAAGTAGATGGAGTGTATTTGCATCCCAGTGGAGGAGGAGCAGGTCGGTGTTCACCTGTTCTGCCTCCTCCCGGTGGACAGAACACTAACATGGGAGGGGTGGGAAATGCAACCGGTTGCCAGGAAACTGAATACCCCAGGCCATTTATTTTCTTTGTACACCTACCCCAGGAGATTCTATAAGCTGCCACCTTGGGTATTCAGAAGTCTCGATTTACATTCTCAGATCACGTTTTACAGGGAAAATAAAAACTAAAATGGGGTGTTTATTTGCAAGAGCGGGATTTTTTAATTCATCAAATTGTTACTAGCTGTGACTTAATGTTAACGTTATACCAGTTATAAAAGAGCATTGAGAAACATCTTGTTTTTTTATATTAGTGTGTCTTTTATCATGGGATAGGGGTAATACTTGTGTACCAATGTGTCACTGTCAGTATTGGATTTCTTGTTTTGGTCCCTTGTGTGTGTCTGTGCTCAGGAAATGGCTAGCAGTTGGAGCTCTGGCTTGTTTGAAATGAAATATCTTGGCTGGTTTGCTGTGTGGGTGGACCTGTGAGGACAGTCTGGTTTTACCAGTTAGATAACATTTACACTGACGACAATGGAAACAACATACCAACCTTCCACTTACACACCCGTGAGCTAAATGGGTGCAGTTTCAGTAGGACACCTCATTGTATTAGGCAACAGAAGAAAAAAACACAACTTATTTTTGTTAACATTATCCCTTTATTGAAAACCACAAAAGCCATTTTATATGTCATCATTTTAAAAAAAACAAAAAAGGTACATTCACAACAAAAACTCAGCAGTAAACACAATCATACGGATGTATATTATCTGAAGGCCTAGTGCATAATTTGTTCTCAAAGAGCATGTCAGAGGCAGTTAGGACAGTGATATCAGTCACTTTTGTATTACGCTGTTACAGATTAAATACTTTTGAATGACTGATATGATTTAGTGTTAACTACACATATGTCAACAAACAATACATACAGTAATTCAGCACAATGCATGATGATCAAAACACAATCGGTTCAATAATGAATTTCCACCTCAGTAATAAACGTGGCCCTCTTTGAGGAAGTAATAAAAGATTTGTCCATTTCCAGTAACGGGCTTTGGTCCTATTAGTCCGTTAAAACTCATTCAAATGTGCCAAGTCTTTAAAAACAAAATAGTCCAAAAAGGTCTTGAATTTCCTTACTAGTACTGACTTGGTGTGTATGCCACAGACCCAGGTGGGGGTACTGAGTAGGCAGGCTGGTAGCCAGGCTGGTAGCCAGGCTGGTAGGTGTAAGATGGCTGGTACGAGTAAGCAGGCTGATAAGCGTATCCAGGCTGGTAGATATTTCCATTGTTGTATACAATCCTCTCATCTGATTCCTGGGTGCGGGGAGCGTGACGGCACAGCAGGATCACTCCCGCAGTGAAAAGTAAAGCTGAAGTCACCCAGCCGATGTAAAGAGCCTCACCGAGCTCCCTGCGCTGGGCATCGATCAGCAGAGGGTTGTAGAAATCCCTGATGATGACATGCGCGGTCCAGGACACAGGGATTATGCTAGTGAGGCAGGCCAGAAGGAACAGACAGCCCCCAGCCACAAGAACAATATGCTTGGTGCGAGCCCGATGGTCCACAATTTTGGTACACTTCATTCCAACTGCTGAAACGACGAGGGCGAAGCAGGACAGAGCCACGGCGCTGCACATCAGACCCCTGGCAGCCTGGAGGTCCGGGGGCAGAAACAGTAGAGAATCGTACACCTTGCACTGCATTCTGATATTGGCTTGTCTGTAGCAGTTCATCCACAAACCTTCCCACCGAGTCTCCATGACAATGATGTTCTCTTCTATGAACGCTGTTACCTTCCACATCGGCAGGCCCGTCACAGCTGCCACTCCAATGAGTCCAAGGAAGCCGATGATGAGGGCCACTACCTCACAACAGATGGCATCCTTACGGTCCTTCTTCTCAACTCTCTTTTTTTCCTCTTCAACAGACTCTTGATAATCGGCATATGTCTTGGCCTGCTTCTCATCGTAGTAAGAGCCTGCGTAAGATTGAGGCGGCTTGCTGTAACCACTGTAAGCAGTGTAAGCGGCCATTGCTACCACAGAGAGCCAAGGATAGACCTTTGGCTGTTCTCTGTCGGCTCTGGAAACAAATCTGAAGAGAAAAGCAAGTCAAGGAACTTATACACCCAGAAAAATATGCTAAGTATGCAATGCAATCTTACTGGTTGAGCTGCTTCACAGCAGATACATGGGAACACAACAGAGAGTGGCGCTTCTTTTTGAAATGCAAATGCAATCACCCGACAAACAATCAACCATTTGGTCTCATGATTAAGTAGATTTAATCAAAAACAAATTGAATCACTTTATGAAGTAACTTTTGATCCAAGCATGTTGTTCAAAGCATTTTTAGAAATATGGTCAAGTTTGAGACATTTCAACACAACTTTAATACTACATTGAACAATATTTTAAATGTATTTAATGATAGTTCGTAATCTAAACAGAAAACTTGCTAGCGAAAACGTTACTATAAACATGAAAATACATAGTCTAGAATCTCCTAACTGTCACCAGTTAGGATCTTATGTCGCGTTTCCACTACACGGCCTCGCTCGGCCCCGCTCGGTATGGCTGGGCCTCGTTAGGACTGGCTCACTTTATGGCGCATTTCCATTACAGTTTAGGAACTGGGGCAGTATCTATAGTAACGCAGTGTAGGCGGAGCCGTGACGTCATCTTCAGAGGACCCCAGAAAAACAACACAGCCGTTAGCTGTTAGCACTCAGAGCTCACAGCTCCTCATATATGTTCAGAAACTAGACAACAGTTAAACAAGTACAAACCACAGACTGCCTGTGTCATGGTGAATACAGTCGCTGCTTTATTTATGTCTGTATAGGCCGTTGTTGTGAGTGTGGACGGTCGGGGCATATACTGCGTTAGCTTAGCCAATCTCCATTTAGAAAACAAGCATTTTAAAAGGTTTTTCCCCTGCCGTCTGTCTGCAGACTTGACAAAGCATTAATTCATGGTTTTTACTAACCGTTATCAGTATGTTGTTACTTCGGCATCATTTTGAAACGTGTATTACAATGAAATCACGGTCAAATATGTCCATCTTGTAGTTGTTGCCCCCTTGCCAGCGACGCTCTCTCTAGTTTAGCATACTCAGCCCGACTCAGCCTCGTTGTCTCTGGCCCTGGCCCCACGATTTTATGAGGCCAGAAAAACTGTGAATTAGGACCCGCCGGCCGGTACTAGGCCAAGTGGAAACGCAACCAAAGACGGGCCGCTGACGTCACAGCCCTCTTAAACCGGGCTGCGGGCTGTAGTGGAAACGTATTGTAAGACTTGCTTGATAACATGTGTGGTGTTGCCAGAGCGGGGATCGGCTCACGTAAAAGGCGTCAGGGGTCTGCGGCGATGTCGGCAACCCACCTCATACCTCATACAATTAGTATGAAATCTAATTTTGGATACAAATGTTGTCAAACAAAGAGTCCACATAGTGTCTTTTTTTAGAATTGTTGAGAATCTGTTGTCTCTCTCAGACTGTAATCTGATAGGATGATCTCAGAGATGTCAAACTGTCTCCTCCTTCAAATGTAACCTGAGCCGTTAAAAAGGTGTTGAGCATAGAAACCTAAGTAGGATTGGTTTCATTGTAACATAGTGTCTATGTGCCAGCCATTTGCACCTTGTTACTGCAACACTAAAGTCTTCCTGGCCTGCCTTTAGACAATCTGTACAGTTTTGAAAATATAAATATATCTGCATTTTGTAATAATATTGAATATCTGAAAGGTAATACCAAGAGGTCTCAAAAGTGTTGTGGGAAATGGTAGAAAAAATACAATCACACAAGTGAATAAGGACAAAACACATTTATTTAGCTCTGACTTATTTTGTGTGACTATAGTCTTAAATTATTATCAAATCATAAAGATTAAAAGCATTTGAACAGTCAAAATTACAGTTGAGCAAAAAAAGGCATAAAAACAACATCATAGATTATATATAGACAGTATAGAGTTGTGTGAGAAATGTTAATATGTTAAACTGATTACTTAATAAGCATATCTATAGTCTAGAATAGTTTTATATACAAAACATATATTCAGGAAAGAATTTGGACTGAGCATACAACAATAGACATGAGAACCATAAAAGGAGTAACGGGTACACAATGTACATTTCAAATGTACAGTAATAATAATTCAAATGTGTAGATAGGTAGTAAAACATTTATATTCATACATAAATTGCACACTCTTGGCCTTATATTGTGACCTTTGTTCGGGTAGCATTATTCAAATATTCTGCAATCATGCGAAGTGGAAGATGTACAGTTCAGTTCTTTACACATATTCTTGATGCTTATAAGAGCTGGATGGCGTCCTCCCAAGGTACACGCTCCCCTCTTTCTGTATGCTCACCGCAATAAGATGCACATCAGTATAAGGCTCTTCCTCCTTTGATCTACGTTTGCCGTAGCTTGACAGAAGGATGACCCCGGTGATCAGCAGAATGCCAGAAGTGGCCCAGCCAATAAACAGGGCCTCTCCCAGCTCCCGTTTCTGAGAATCCACCACCAGTGGGCTGTAGAAGTTCCTGATGACGGTGTGGGCCACCCAGCTAACAGGGATGAGCGTGGTCAGAAAGGAAAGCAGATATAAGCTACCCCCTAAAGCCAAAGTGATGTTCTTGCTCTTTGGGTTGTCGCCACAGCAGTTGCTCTTCTTGGTCCCACATCCTGTGACGAACAGGGAGAGGACCACCAGGACTATGGACACACACATGAGCCCCCGGGCTGCCTGCAGCTCTGGGGGGAGAATCAGCAGTGAGTCGTAGACCTTGCACTGCATGTTGATGTCGGCCTGTCTGTAGCAGTTCATCCACAAGCCCTCCCAGAGTTCCTCCATGACTATGAGATTGGCACCAATGAAGGCAGAGACCCTCCACATGGGCAGGGCAGTGACAGCGATGGTCCCACACAGGCCGATGGAGCCCAGGACCAGGGCCAGGACCTCCAGCTTTGCTCTCATGGCTCCGCAGAAAGTGCTTGTGTCTCGTATCTTGTGTTATGAAAAGACTGCTCAACCAATCTTTTCTGCTAGGCTGTAAATCTGTGATAAAATCCTCATGCCTGCAATGTCATCCTACTGGTTTTCGTTGGCTTGACCTCTATTCCTACCATGGTTTCAGTGCCAATTTCTCTGAAAAACAAACAAGTGTTACAGATTGACCATCATTTCTCATCATGCATGACAAGCACATAATACAAAGAAAGAGTATGACTATGTTGACATGTGGAAACCCTGCAAGTTTAGTGTTGGTGACTAAAGTTTACACAGTTTTAAGTATGTTCTACGTCTTGGGCTTTTGAAACTTCTTCAAACTCAATTGGATTTTAAAAATAACACTCTAAACTTTATGTCTTTAATTATTACATGAAGAGAAATTACACTTACAACTTTGGAAGGACCACCTTTTCACAATCGTATGTTCCTTTACTGTAGTACATTTTTATGTTGCGCTCATCTGCCCCTAAAATGACCAGAGTCACTTGATGTAGCAAGTAATCTGACAACGGAACATTGTTAGGCCTATTTCCTGTTTATTCACAATCAGTCTGCAAATTATGGACTGAAATACATAGGGGGAAGAAGTACTCTACACGTGTTACATATATTTTACTTAAGCAAAACTATAATACTACATTGTAGAAATACTCTACAAGTAAAAGACATGTGTTAAATGTTGTACTTATTAAATATATGGGGCATTCTACCGAATTAGTACAAAGTGCGGTCCCACAACAAGAAAAACTATTTAACAAAACAATTAAGTATTCAGACATAGATATTTACTAAGAATATGTTATGGTCTATTTAAACACAAGGCATTAAATTAGATAGTAATAAGCTTAAGTAGTAGGGAAGTAGCTGTCCCCAACCCTGACATCTACATTTCAATCTCTGTAAATAACATTTAAAACATTTTTTTAAACGTAGTTCAATGGTGTATTTAGAAGATCTTTATGATTACATTCAAACAGAAGTTGGAATATTTAGATTTATTGTGGGCATCATTTTTTAATAAAAAAACTATACTCAAAAAATCATGTCCCCAGTTTTCATGTCACTACCGAGGGGTTTTAGTCCAATGGCTGAGCCTGGTTTTCAGCCACACCCCTGCACTTTTGACTGGGCAGTGACACTCATGGCTGAATGGCAAGTAGCTATATCCCGTACTTTTGATATCAATCTGTTCCAAAATCTGAAAATCGGCGTGTAACCTTAAGAATTGTCACTACCGAACACATATTATCTTCAATTAAGCAAACTTTTTCTGGGTTTTATGCAAAGTATTATGTTTTTATGCGTGTAAACCTCTTCAGAAACGTGTATGCTAGCCATGTACTTGCTAGCATTCTTTAGTTATGCTCAATTTTTTGCTAGAATCGTCACTACCGAAACACTCACTACCGAAACATATGGTTACGTTTCGGTAATTGACATGATGGTTCGGTAGTGACTAAATGGAATGGTAAGCAGGTAAATCCCACCATTTTGAAATAAATGTGTTTTAAAGTCTGAAAATCAGTGTGTTACTTTAAAGGTCTCTTATTATACTATTGTTAGGCATATATTATAGGTCTCAGATATATAAAAAACATGTCTATGAAGTGTTTTGCTCAAAATACCAAACAGATCACCCATTCTAGCCTCATTCCCCTCTATTTCAGCCTGTTACTAAAGTGCTGATTCTGGGTCAGTAGCTTCAAACAGTCACACTTCAACATAAGGCATGTTATGAGTTAAGATTAAGCAATAAGGTTGAGGGAATATGATACAACCTTGAGAACAAAATACTGTGGTCACTACCGAAACAGTGGATGTTTTGTAAAAGATTAAAGGGCCCATGTCATGCTTTTCCGGTTATTACCCGTCCCCTTGTGTGTTATGAAGGTTTTTATGCATGTAAACGGTGTGCAGAGTCACAAACCCTCAAAGTACACCCTGTAGCGAGTAAAACTCTAACACAGAAAATATCTCCCCAAAACGCCTCGTTGGAGATACGTCATTGCCCATTTGATAATTCCATTTCGTTCCGGGTACGGCATGATGTCAAGCCGTACCCGGAACGAAATGGACCAATCCGTGGAGCCGTTACGTTACGTCCGCGGAGCCGTTACGTTAAGCCCCCACTGATTGGTCCAAATTGACCACTCCACGGACTTCCTCACACACACATCTGTGTGCAGGGAGCAGGCAGCTCAGCTGATTTCTCCTCCTTGGCTGCAGGCTGATAACAGACAGTTGGGATCGCGGCAAAATTCTCTCTGCAGACCCATTCTCACAGCGTTTATCAACCTTTTTCTTACTCAATATCAAGCCACACTTATTGTTTTTACTTCGGCTGTGAGTTTGTGTGTGCTCAGGATGAGTTTGGCTGTGTATCGCTAACAAGGAAACAACACCTCCACGGAGCTCAGCGCGATTCACAACGTCCCGACCAATCAGAGCACACAGGGAGGGTGGGGGCTGGAGCTATTGGAGCTACAACGAGCCGTTAAAGGCAGAGAGTGAAATTCAGTGAATACAGGTAGTTTACAGAGATGCTGTATGAGTAACCAATGTGAGTTTGGAAAATTGCACAATATAAATCTATTCTAGTATACCTCAACAATGGAATTATGATCAGTGGAAATGGCCATGACATGGGCCCTTTAAGTATATTGAGTTATCAACTAAAATGATATGATACTGATTGGTTTAATGTATGTTCAATTTCAACAATCATCAACTCTGGAATCAATATGATCAGTATTATGCATTTTACAAAGAAAGTTTGCATTATGATTTTTATGAATTGTATCAATTGAACTTTGAAATTTGATAAAAAATTCACTTTTATTAATTTAATTGTGAAAACCCTCAAATATTTGTTAAAATACTATTTAGAGAAGGGAAGGTAAAACAATCTTAACAGGTTAATATAATACTTTTTTACTACAGTGTATGTACTATGTTTCGGTAGTGACCATTTTTGGTAGAGGAAGAACATTCCAATACAGTCTGAAAATACGATATAAAAATGTACGGTTCTTTTACCAGATATGTGTAATTTAGATACGGTACAAAATATATATGGACAAAGTTTTGGGAAAAAAACATACAACATTTCAAAACATTTCCAACCTGACTTTGGTCCAATTCAGTAGAATGGCCCATATAGTGGCGTGAAAAGTACAATATTTGCTTCTGGATTGTGGTGGACTACAAGTATAAAGTAGCAGGAAATTAGTACTATTAATATTTCATTTTTTTTACTGCAAGTACCTCAACATTATAATTAACTACATTATTTGAGTACATATTATTAGTTACCGGCCACCACTGATTAAATATGGCATTGTCCCAGTAAACACTAGATGCATGGCCACCCTTATGTATAAAGCATATGCCCGAACAAAACTAATTTGCTTCCCATGTCGATCTTTGTGCATGTGCTATTGGCATTATTCAAGTTGCACATTGCTATGGAGTTAGAAATGCAATGTAATAATGTTTTGTGAAGTGAAGTTTGTCTTTAAATTATTAAGTCTCAGATGGCTTTAATGTCAGTATCAGAATACTTAATTTATCCCGGGGTAAATTGGGTAAAGCTATACCTGACTTATCTGTTTTAACTTTTTTTTTTGTAAGTCTATTGATGCTGCTTCTGCTATGAAAATTACCATCTTAACGTACAAAGACAAACATGAAACATGACCAGGAAGATGGTTTGCTTGCAGATAAGGAGCAACAATGGGAGATTTCACATTAAAAGAGCCACTCCTTTATTTAAACATGAGTTGGTCCTGAGTTGGTCACCCGGTTTCTGGAGAGTACCTGTGACAGGAAAGGAAAGGGAGATACAAAAAGATCAGGCAGGAGAGGTCACAAAACAGGAACAGAAACTGGAAGCCTGTCGAGCAGGTTTGCCGAGTGATACCTTTGTCACATCACAGCTGCTTAAAATGTAAACAGATACACTCAAGCTGAGAAGCCTGAAGTTGGCCTGCAGCTAACCTAAAAACATCAGATGTGCTGTGAAGTATTTTCTTTAGATATTTAACCATAATCTGCTGGCATTGCAGTTCTACATTTAGATGTGAGATACATTGGGTTGAACATGATGATGCAACTCGAAGTAACAAAGTACACATTACACTGTGAGATGTGCTGTGGCGCAGATATAAATGTAGAACAACATCAGGCTGTGTGTGCCACCTGCTGTATGTAAATGTGTCCTGCACATTTCTGGACCCCAATACGTTTGAGATATTTGGAAAATATTTTAAAAGAAATGAACTGAGGTTTGTCTCCTTAATTTTACTGAAGTGTTCAACTAGAGAGAATCCTATAAATCTTTTATTTTGTTTCTTTCCGTTAACTGTCAAGTGGGAACTAAGTATTTTTTTTGTGTGTGTTTCTCTTATTTTCCTACCATACTGTTATGATTGGCTGTGAATAAGAAAATATGAAGGACAGACCACCTATTTCTATTTGGTTTTTTTTTGTTGAGAAAGGGGCAGGTATTTTCTTCTCCCCGCTCCTTTCCGGGTATGGTGTGTTTTTATAGAGACATGTTTTGTAAATAATTGTTATACATTAAGTTGTGCATACCATGAACGGAACAAATACAAATGAAAAAAGTGATCAACTAGAGAGAATCCTATAAATCTAGCCTTTTCTTTTAATCTGGGGTAATATAAGAGTCTGTTGCATCAAAGCAGAGCATCAGCAAGGAAACCCTGTCCCATCTCATCACTCTGCCATTCAGCCCTGCATCAGATACTGTCGCTGGCTATCGACAGCACAATTAAGTCTGAAGTGATCTTCCCCTTTTATCTGAAGGAGCCCCAGTGCTTTTGTGGTGGGGGTGGTGATTGACAATGGTGAGGGGGCTCCTGAAGCTCAGGTGACAGGATGTCCACAGAGCTTAGAGACAAGAGAAAGAAGAGATAGGGCTGTGGGTGCCATAGCTCAGTCAGGGCATATTTAGCTTTGGATCGATGATGAAACGGGAACAGACAAAGTGAAATTGTGTAAAGACAGTAACCCTGGAATTGTGAAACTCTCGATTGTTGAGGTTAGGTATTTATCACAAATACTTAAGGATAGGATTGTTGGGCGTCGAGACCCACGAACATTTGAGGAAATCAGTGGTTACCATCCTTGATACAACATATACATCTATACTTCAATAGGATTCATGCAAACACAAATAACGAGTGAGATGAGATGTTTTATTTGATTGTTTGTCATACATTTCTGTTATTGCTATTTAGCGTGCA